GAGAGAGAGAGAACGAGCGTGCGCGACTCCGTCGATCTCTCGGACTTGGCGAAAACCGCCAACATCGACAGCCGAGAGGGGATCGACTGGCCACCCCCGGTGAGGACGTCCAGGCGTCACTTACCACATATCTTCCTCGGCGGCGAAGCACGACGGATTGCGTTGCGTATCACGTGAGCCGCCGGGCGTATCCGCTCGTCATATCCGCGTTCTCACGCACTCGGGATCTCGCGATCGTCCGCTCACTGCTGCCGCCCCGCTGTTGCCGAGAAAGAGTCGCCCTTTTCCCACTTCCTCCCGCGTTTCCGCGTCTCTCCTCCTGGTGATCCTCCCGATGCGTCGGTCCCGGCAATCGGCGGTTCCCGTGGGTTACGCAGGGCGCAACGCACCCTCTTCGCCCGGAGGAGCACCGATCCCGCGAGCGGACGATGTCGTCACGACGAAGTCGAGGGTGCAGCACCCTTCTCTTCCCCTCTCTCTCTCTCTCTCTCTCTCTTTTGCTCTCGCTCTCCCTCTCCTTCTCGCCAATCGTCGACTCCAACCCTTCCCAGCGCAGCGTTCCGCGCGTGATGCGTATCTCTCTCGCCTTCCTCGTGGCCTCCCTGTGTCGCGCACCCGCTTCCTGGAGCACACAGCACGAGAGCACTCACTACTACGAACCACCACCACCAGGCACCGGTACACAACTACGACGGAAGACGTGGGGAAAACCGAGTGCGGGCGCGCGCACCACCGTCACACGTTCCACCACCTCCACTCCTTTTCTCGCTCCTTCTACCCAACTCGTGCACTCCCTCTCTCCCTCTCTATCCTTCTCCCTTTCTCTCTTGATCGGCTCTTTCCGTTTCTCTCGATCGTTCTGTATCTCTCCTCGCTCTTTCTCTCTCTTTCCCTCCTTCTATCTCGGTCCCACGTTCTGCCGACGCAGCCTCTCTCGTCTCGTGTAAACTTATAAATAGATATCTAGGTGCGCTCTATATTATATTTATATATATATATATATATATATATATATATATATGTATATATATGTATATATATATATATACACAGACACGCGTGCGTATACGACGCGAGAGGGAGAGAGCGCGAGCGTGAGCGCGATGTCGTGTGCCGTGAAGAAGAGACCGATTCCGCGTGTGTACGGCGCTTCCTCTACATATACGGCGACCCCGAGAAACACGCACCCTCCTCTTTTTGCTTCTCCTCCTTCTCTCCGGTGTATCGGACTTGGCGCGAGGATCTCCGAGAGTCGGTCGTCGCGGGGGTTCCCAGCGACGGAACTGTCGGCCGGCACGCTCAACTTCCGGCGCAAGGATGATAGAGAGTTGCTAACGCGACGGCACACGATGACGACGTCGAAGAGACGGCAGCGACAGCGGCAACGACGACTACGATAACAACTACGACAGCGTTTACATCGTCGACTCCGATCAATCCGACTTTCTTCCCTTCTTAACTCTCGCGCTTCTCACTCTCGCGACAACCACGACGACGGAGAAACGTTCTTCGCCCTTTCGAGTGTTCCCTCCTCGAATCGAGTCCCTCCCGCCCTCGCGCTGCTCTCCACGACCACCCTCTCCGCTCTCACCTCCCTTTGCGACCAAGCACGGAGCAGCCCCGATGTCACTGCACTGCTCTCTGTCTCGCTCGGTCGCCCGCACGGCCAGTGCTCCCTTTTCCTATATATACACGCATTCCACCGCGTTGGTCTCGCCCCGCATACGTTCCCCTTGGTAGCGCGCCGGGGGTGTCCCGGTGAACGACTTCTAGCGCGAACGACGTCGTCCGTCAGGTGCGGCCAGGCAGGTGGAGAACGTTCTCCGTGCACGATAGGTGATGACAATGACGACGAGGACAACGGAAACGGTGGCGGCGGCGGCGGTAGCGACAACGACGGCCACGACGACGACGACGACGACGACGACGACGACGACGACGGTCACACGACACACGCTCCCACACTCGACGATATGCCGCCGGCTCGACGCCAGCGACGCCTGGCGTCGCGACGCCCCACCCCCGCTCCGCAGCGAGACGCCGTGGTGGACGCGCGCGTGGAAGCTACAGCGACGAGGGGCACGATCGCTGGAGGAGGTCGGGGGGTGGTGAGCGTGTTGCCAATCCCCGTGTCGGCCAGTGGCGGATTTAGAGGGCAGAAAAGCGCCGGGACGCGCGTATACATGTATCCGTTTGTTTGTGTTCAATTTAAATTTGGAGAAATCATTATTTCGAGGGGGAAAGTCTGTAGTTGCGAGCCCGAAGTCTTCTCCGGTTTTCTGCGTCCCTGTAATTGGGGTCTCCTTTTATTTGAAGCTGCTAACCCCTCGAGCGCAGGTGCAGTCGGTGATTTTCTCACGGTGAGGAGCTCTTCGCGCATATTGGAGAGATAGAAAATTCTGTTATCAACCTGCCGTCGAATGTTTTCAAATCTGCTTCGCTAGCGCGCAGAATATGCGAGCTTAAAACTACCAGAGAGGGAGAGACAGAGAGATAGAGAGAGAGATAGAGATAGAGATAGATAGATACATAGAGAGAGGGAGAGGGAGAGAGAGAGAGAGACGAGATGGCGGGAAAAAGACGAAGGAGTAGATGTGTGTCGTGAGATAAATGAAAAATCGACGAGATACGCACGCGAGTCGACGGACAGCGCGCGTACAGAGGAAAACACTTCCTCGTCGACGCGCGGACGAGAGAGGATCGAGGGAAAAATTTATTTTCGAGCCATTTCGGTCGACCCACTTTCGCGATTGCGCGCCGCGGGGGGTCGCGTGCCAGGTTTACTTTCTGGCCAAGGGTCACGGGGCACAGAAGCGAATGATTTAGCGTTCCGCTACGTTCTTTGTGGCGTGCTGACGTTTCCTAATCCTCTCCTTCTCAGTCGTCTCCCTCCGCCCGGTGATTTTCCTCGAGAAAGTGCGAAAGACGAGAAGGTAGGTGGACCTCCTGCACGAAACATCAAGAGAACATAAGATCACTGAAAGTCAGCGTGCGGGTGTCGTAACGATCATTACGCCGAGAATGAGCGAAAGCGTAATCTTCGCAGCAGTTTTTACGGATAATTATTTTTAATGCAGTAAAGTATTTTTTATCAGTTTTTCTCACGAGATCATAGAAGAAAAGCGATACCGCACGATAAGCTCATCACGCTCATCACGCGGTTTCACGAACATTCTTAAAATTAAAATACGGAAGTCGACTATCATTTCACTCGATACGATTTCATACGGAGTGCGATAAAAGTGCGCGCCGGGTATCTTCTATTGCAGGGAAAAGTAGAGAAGATTAAAAGGAGCCGGCAGATTGCTCTTCTCCCCCATTCGCATTTTTCTTTTTCTTTTTATCTTGCGCGCGCGCGCGCGCGCGTTTCGGGTAGTTCGCGCGTAAGACCGACCTATTTTAAGGATGCAAGTGCCGCGTTCGCGTTACGCGAGAGCGAAATCTATTTGCCAAGGGAGGAATCAAAGATCAGATAAACGCTACCGCGCTTTGTCCTACTCTCGTGCGCCAATGCCACGTATCTAATCTCTTACGCCCTAAAAAGTTGCACCTATCCAGGCGTTAAGTAAAAATTTTATGAAAAAAGAAGCGGCGGCGAATAAAAATTGTTAATCGATTCGCTTGCGCGAAAATTTTCCTTGATCAGAAAGCGAACCGACCGACTTGACGAAAGAGGAAAATGAAGCTGCTCGTTTATATTGGAAAAATTTGCCTGTATGTGTGTGTGTGTGTGTGTGTGTGTGCTGTGTACGTGTATATGAATAATATTTTATCAATAACGCTCGGAAATAGTATTAGCGCGATATGCAACTAAGAGTTAATGCAATCAAAAGCGGGCACGGAGCAGCGAAGACGTTACTGGTAGAACGATTTAGTGGTATATTACCGTTACAGCCAGACACGATGCGACGATTAAATTCGCTGGAATAAAATTTATGAATGAAATTTTATCAGATGATAATTGCTCGCATGCGCTACGCCTCAGGGAAATTAGGATAAAACGCAGTGAAAAATGTCGCGCAACCTTACGTTTACCGCCGTTATTACCGCGCGCATTATCGTGCGAAGGGACGCGTATTTTTATAGGGTGTACGATCGATCACGAAATTACGCCGTAAGAAGTATCAGTTTACGAACGCGAGCTCTCTCGCTCTCTTTTTGCCTCTCTCCCTTCTCTCTCTCTCCTCCCTCTCTCTCTTCTCCGCCTCTCTCACTCTGTCTCTCTCTCACTCTATCCACGTATCAGTTCTGTCGTGCGCCGTTTCTCGTCCGATATTATGTAAAGACACGTCAAGACAGAAGTATTACGCAAAAAATAAGCATCGTCGGAGCGAAGGCTACGCAACGAAATAAAAGCTAGCTCGCAGCTAACGTTCACTAAATACGGGCTCTCATCAGAAACGGAGCAAGCATCCCTTAAAAACAACAAAGCAACACGGAGAATGAGTTTAACCCTTTGCGCTTCAAGAGTTCCGTACATACAGAAAATTACATACCACATTTAAGTAAAGATTACTTGCTTCAAGTATTTTATAAGTATATATATCCGCGAATCTATCAATCTATCTATAATAGTTAAAATCCAAGGTTTATCATCGTCTTTTTCCTTCCTTAAAATCCTATAAATTTTGTCTGAAACATTTTTGTCTGCCGGGCTCAATTTTCGAGATATTCGGATGGTCTGTTTAAAATGATACATTCTGTATATATAAAAATGTTTGTCTGTATGTTCTCTAAATACAATCCTAAACCCTTTGACCGATCTGTACCAAATTTTACCTAGTTAATCTCCAGGAGTCTATGGAAAATATAGACTATCATGAAACCTGG